AAATATATATTATTTATTTACTATTAATACGCACTTTTACAAAATTTGTTTTTAATATTATTATTACTGTCCGTTCTATATTCTAATATGAATAAAGAAAACAAAAAAAATAATAACACGATGTTTTACAGATTTTTACAGCGAGATTCATTTAACGCGGAATGTTTTTGAAAAAGATTGATTCATTTGTTTTTTTTTTATGTTTTCTTAATCTGTCCTCTCTTCTGTTTTTTATCATTATTTATTTTCTGTTTATTTTTAATGAGAAAAGAAATATTTACAGTTACGTACTTGTTGTTATAAACTCGTTCGTTTTCATAATAATAATATGTAGATGAAATTCTCTAAATATTATTATAGTTATTGTTTTTGTTTGGCAAATAAGTTGATGACTCCTCTGATGGAACGTGGTAACTTTCGCCTACGTATCAACAGCACTATGGATATCACAGAATATACCGTAACGCCCATAGACTCATGGACTAATTTTTAATGGGTGATAATGGAGTGATGATCCCGCCTAGGTTATCCGGATATGCCGGCGGGGCACCAATGAGGGATTACAAGTGATGGATTACAGGTGAGGATGAAAAGGCAAGTCAGTTAGCTCATACTGACGAATTCCACTAGAATTAACCACGACGGTTTCCAGGGGGAACCGGGTCGAGGTCGACCTGATAGGGTATGTTGCTAGCAATGGGTATATTAGACCCCATTACTAACAATCTCTTTCTCCCTCGGACTAATGTGTTGTACTTCCGTACTATATAATTTCATTACCGCATCCCACCCTTTAAACAGAAGCACAATCACGTACACACAGGTGCTTATTAGCGGCGAAACAAAAGTGCGAAAGAGGTATTTCATGGAAATGATTTTTATATAAATTCCTTTTAAGGTCGCTTTTTTTTCAAGTATGAGTTTTTATATCGCTTATATTATTATGTAATTCTCTTTGGCTATAATATATTATGGTTATCGGTAAAGAAGCATTGCAAAGTTACTTAATTTTACCCCAAAATCGGGACGATGTAGGCTCGTTGGACCTTTCACTGCGCGGTTTCGCGATTGATTTAGTGCGTAAGAAAGGTTTAAAAGTAATTTTACACTTCGACCCACGCTCTTTCTAGAAATTTGTTATATATCATGATACTTTGTTTCGATTTAAATCCTCGCTAATACGAGTTTTTTTTTAATGGGTGATAATGGTATGATAACCCCGTCTGTGCTATCGGTATACACTGACGGGGCACCAGTGATAGATGACTGATGAGGATGAAAGCAAGTCAGTTAGCCCATCCTGACGAATTCAACTAGAATTATCCACGATGGTTTCCAGGGAGAATCACGTAGAGGTCAACCTAACATGGTATATTGCTAGTAATGGGGCTATTGACCCCATTACTAACAATCCCTTTCCCCCTACTAATGCGAGTATTATATATTTATAATATTTGTAAGTATGAAAGTGAGTTTGTTACAAATTGTTTGTAACAATTTCTCGGCGCTTTAACAGCCCAACCATTTATCACGAATTGGTATACATCTGCTATTTGGGACGGAGAAGGACATAGGCTACTTTTTATCCCGGCCAACCAACGTTATCCAGGTCACGTGGACGAAGTCGCGGGTAAAGACTAGTAATGAATAACTTCTTATGGTTGCATAAACAAAAGTTCGTTAACTGATTTCTATGGAATAGGGGATGCTAATTTTTAAGAATTTTAATTAAAGAATAAATTTTAATTTAAAGACTATTAAAATGAGTTCCAAAACAAGGAAGTTCTTAGTTCGTATTTTTTTTGCTATTACACAAATATGTCGTCAATTTTGAACTGATTCTCACGTTTCTTTTTGTAATTGATATGGTTTGTTTTCTAGACTTACGCAAGATAACACATAATTTACTGAAACGTTTAAAAAATATTTACAATATATGTAAGATATTTACAATATATGTATATTTATGACATAATATCATTTAGTCGTACATTTCACCAGAAGATATTTCATAGACTTTTTATTGTTTTTTATGTAAACACACATACACGTGTTTGTTTAAGAAAGTTTCTTTTTTTTAAGAGCAATATGCACTAGTGTGTAATTGTGTGGCACTTATTTATATAAATACTTTTTTACATAAGTGTGAGAACTATATTCAAGAATTTGGAATTAATGAATACCTATTCATTTGAGGTCACTTCAAGATAACCTTGCTACTTGTAGATTACAGAATCGCCAAATATATCTCAATATTTAGTTGTATCTGGTTATCATTAAGAAAGATATCACTAATTACTTGTACTATTATTTAATTTAGAATAAAAACCGTGACTTGAAACCGTTTATCAACTGACTTTTAAAAAGAAGAAGGATAGATAGATAGATAGATATATAGAGAGATATTCTTTATTGTTTCCTTTAAAAGGTTACAATAGGAAATTTATTACAAGTATAAACAATTACACCAAGAAAAGAGTTTTTTTATGTTTGTTATCTCATAACTCTGTCAGTTTCGTTCTAAACCGTTCAGAAAAATTCTTTTTTTTTATCTAAAAGGATATACTTACAGATTGGTCCCAAAGAGATTTTATCAAAATTGGTTTAAATAGATTAATTTTTAGATCAAAATAACTAGTTTTGTCACAACTGAAGTCGATTTTTTGTGGGGCAAAATTTTTAATTATTTATTTTACACGTAAACTGTTTTTCGTATGGCTACTTTTCAATTAGAATGATATATGAGATATGCATGTGAAATTATAAGGTATATTTTCATGGAAATGGAATGACAACTACTGCTTGAACTATTGACATACACTGGCGGAGTATCAGTGAATGATGATAGGTGATAATGACAACAGGTCAGTAGGTTTTTTTTATATCATGATGAAACAAGCTGACGGCCCACCTGATGGAAAGTGGTAACCGTCGCCTATAGTAGGTTTGGACATAACAGAGATACTGTTTCGTCCATGAAGCATGGATTCCTGAAGTGTGACTTGATATTGCACAGCCATACAAACACAACAGCTATACGGTTGAAATGGAACAGAGGTACCCAAGCAATCGACTTTTGTACAAAGTCTCTCTCTGTTTCATCATGTCAATTAGTTTTCCCGCATGGAATTATATTGCAGGATATCGCTGGGCATTGGGACATAACACTCTAGTCTTATGATTGATTTATAATGGAAAGTACAAAAAATATTTCTTTGTTGTCAAAAATGTTTAATTTTCTAAATACTATCATATTCGACATATATGTTGCTTTGTGAAAATAGAATTCTATTTTCGATTCTTGATTAGATCTATTTAGGAAACAAACATTTTTAAATAGGAGTCGGTCTAGTATTTTAGGTGATGCCCCAAATATTCATTGCCTGGTTTCTCATAATGTAAGTTGTTCTAGCTCGCTAATCAGGTAGTTGGAGTTGCTGTTACTCGTATTTATTATGTATTATCTAGTGCAGTGTTTCCCAACCTTTTTTATGCCATGCCCTACTTGAACATTTCTAAAATTTTTAAGCATCCATACATAATTTTTCCCGACAAAGTTTACTTGACGACTCTAATTGCCCATTTCCACACGAAATTATACCTAATAAATATTAACAGTATTTCATTAATTTAAATTTTTTGTTAAATTTGGCATCGATATCTACTCGTAGAATTGCATTTAATGGGCCCGGAGCAAGAGGGTTAAAATTGCTTCGAGTCCATTTTTAATTGCCCCTCCTCCCCCCTTAACTATGGGGCATGGGCTCCAAGTTGGTAAACACCGGTCTAGCGCTTATACTTATTTTAGTTTAGTTTATGTAGGTACTTGCTTATAAAGCAGAGAAAACTAAGCTTCAAGGATATTTTTATATATATACACCTCTTCCTTTTTCAAATTTTATATTTCCTCGCATACCTATACACCTACACGTCGGTTTCAGAAACTTTTGACTTTATCATCAGACAGTATACAATCTGTCCAATTGTGTTAGGTATATAAAATATTTTACTGAAAAAAAAAAAACAAAAGCTCGATTAGGAGGTATCATTAAATACAGAACTTTATTGAAAGCTACAGTGGAATGGAAGTCGTTTGTATAGGTAGTAATAACCTCGTGTTATTGAGTGCGTCATCCATGTATAAAATGTGTGGGTAACAAGATACCAAGGCCACCAAGGATTGCTTTTATTATTTTTATTAGGCACCCAGTTGGGACTGAGTTTTGGCATGCACACTGCGTGATTGTAATGGCATCTTCCGATTATCGCTTATTTTTTTTCCCATTTAGATTATGTTATGCATTTCGATGATGTGTGAAATAACGACTTTGCTTCTGATGGACGGACAAATATTTAGATATAGTAGCATAGTTTCGTCTAGATTTTTTTTGCATAGAATTGTCTTAACTATTACTGCTATGATTGTGGAACGCGTTACGTTGTTGTCCTTTGGTCTGAACATATCTGGACACAAACGGCTAAAAAGTAGATTTACATATATATTTCATATAGATTTACATATATATCATATATAGCCGGAATTACATATAAACATACATCTTATAAACATTATCCTCCTTTATGTAGTAGCCAATTTGGTAAAAGAAAATGACAGAGGAGTTTATATCTACTTCTACATTTATCGAGATCCATAGGATTTATTTTCACGTCAAGTTCGTAGTAAAATAAAACAGCTGATTCAGCCCGGCTACGGAAGATCCATACAGATGTGACTAACATACGGAATTCGGCCTTTTTGTATCATGTTCCCATACTTTTGAAGATTAGCGGATTCTAATTTAGAGCAAGACAAACAAAAACACAAATTCTTGCGAATTTGTGTTTTTATCATCTATATTATACATCACCTATTAGTAAAAATTTGAAATCCGTCTTGTATTTTTCAAGCTTCTTCCATTTCTTTGTACAAATGAACAGTGACTTGATTTGTATATGTTTTTTGATACGTAGTGATGAATATTGATGTTCTTATGTTTCAGATATCCAAATGAAGTTCACCAAGTACCCAGAGTCGGTGATAGCACCCGTGGGTGCCAATGTAACATTCGAGTGCGAGGTCACTGTCCCTGGCGAGCGGCTGACTTGGCGGTGGGCCCTCCCTAATCACACAGAGAGCAGTTGGACAGAGGTTGCTGGTGTCACCGACAAGAATGTTCACACTAAACTGATCGTGGAAGTAAAATCAAATACTGTAGATACTTTGTATCAGGTAACTATCATTATAATTAGCCTACTACAGTCCATTGTTGGACATAGGTTTCTTCTAAAGTAGGTAGCAATAGTTTATTTCATTAAATTTAATGAAAACGTAAACAAATATTGTTGTAATTTTAACAGAAATATTCTAAATGAAATTAGTAATAAATCAAAACCTTCAATTAATTAATAACCTTTTTAGTTGTATTACTATTGGACACCAGCACTTTGGATTATAGTTGGATCAATTATTCTTTTGTTTACATTTTCATTAAATCTAGAGTATAAGCGCCGCACGCCGCCTGAAGAAGACTTATGGATGAAGTTGAAACTATTCTCGGAAACGGTAAACATGGGGAGTTCCTTAATTTTCCTTTATATAATATTTGAATATAGACTTAATTAATTTTCATTGAAACTGGCTATATTTATTGTAGTAATTAAGAGATCGTATCGATAGCGTTTTTTTAATGGATGATAATGGAACGGTAACCCCGCCTGCACCAACGGTATACGCTGGCGGGGTACCAGTGAGGGATAATAGGTGAGAATGAAAAGGCAGGTCAGTTAGTCCATCGTGATGAATGCATCTGGAATTTAGCATGATAATTTCCAGTGGGGGCCATGTGTAGGTCGACCTGATAGGGCATATTGCTAGCAATGACACTACTAGTCCGCATTACTAACAATCTCCCTCAAAAATGACAGTTTTCTTATTAAATTTGAACAATAAATTATATTGTTATACTTAATTACTTACTAATATAATTGTATCAAGATGTAGATAGATATTTTAAAAAAAATTTATAAAAATAATTTTAGGAATATGTCGACACCACCCAAAAATTACTGTTTTAAATTGGATGTAGTTTTCATAGTTGAATTTTAAAAAATTCAACTATGAAAAAGGTATAAAACCTTAAAAGGTTTAACTTAAAATCAGGTATATGTTTTATCATGATCTTGATGTGCCATAAGTCTCCTCCATAAACTGTCATAAGGAACGGTCCCAAGCCACCTGTATTCCAAAAATATTGTACAATCCATTGCGCTGAGAGATTAATCTTTGTTTATTTTTTAATTGCCATAATGATTAGTAAAAATATAAAAAAAAAATATTATCGATGTATAGATAGCTATCAAGAATTGTAATTTCATATGTATTTGTTGTTTTGAATAATTTACTAACATAAATAAAGTATAATTTAATTGCCTACAACACTTCATTCCTCTTTCAATTATATATATATGTGTATTAGTATGGTATATTTGTATGTATTTGTGCGTATATATGTATATGTATGTATATATATTTGTGTGTGTATGTATATATATGTATATGTTTGGATGTATGTGTTTATTTATGTATGTGTATATGATTATGCCACAGATAACACAGTTATAGTGTTAGTTATTTTTGATTGAACTAAAAAAAAATTTTCTAAAAATAATGTATGGCAAAACAACGTTTGCAGGGTCAGCTAGTAAATATATCTAAATTTTTATTTATATTCCAATAAATACATAAAACAGATTATTATTATCAAAATGTCTTTATTATAGAAATATATCTAATATCTATGAACCCATTATCATTTTCATCAGGCGTATCTAATATCTATATATCCGTTATTAATTTAGCGAGGTACATACACGTATCAAATTGCTCGGATTTAATTGCTCGATTCACGTGCTTATAGTATGAAAATCAGGCAACGTTAAAACATTTGCTGACTAAAGCCACAATTATTCTCAGTTAAGCTAAGAAAGTGATTACGAAGACAAATGTAAGCTTGCCACGTTTGTCTTCATGATAATTTTGTGTTTGTTAGCCCGAAAATGTGGCCACTGAGATCGTTCTGTGTATACGAGTATTTTCTTATAAAACGGAGCGTGCCTTAACTTTTGATGTTCACCATAACTATAGATCGAAGAACTGACAGCCGATGGGGGGAAAAAGGTTCTTGAGTAGTGACCCCGTACGGGCAAATGTAGTTTAGAACAAACCCCCACTAGATGGACTGACGACCTCAAATCCATTGCAGTGAGTCAGCGTATACAGGTGGTTCAGAGCGTTCCTTATACTAGTCTCTGGGGGAGGTTTATTTTCAGCAGTGGATAGATAATGGCTGATGATAATCATTATCATCAGCCATTATCTACTCGGTCTACAATAATTGTACATGTATGATGTATTATTGCCACATAAGTCATTAATGGCCGTGTGATCCCGGCATAGAATTGGCCTCCTTCCTTTCCCGTGGGTGTCGTATCACATATGTATGTATATTACCCTATGTGCTAAATTAGGTTAGAAATAATCTACCCGTGCACCAAATTTCATTCAAATCCGTTCAGTAATTTTTGCATGAAAGGGTAACAAATATACATCCATCCTTACAAACACTCACATTTATAATATTGACGGGATGCGCGAAAATCTAAATCTAGTTTCAATTTTATTATATTATATTAATAATATTTTAAATTATATGTTTCTATTGATGTTTATTAGATTTTGCATAAAATTATCAAGTCCTTTGCATTTCCAGTGCGTCGTGTGGTACGGGCCAATCAGTTTAGTGTCTGTGCCGGCGAAGTTGACGGTCGCAAAAATGATACCCAGCAAGAGTAGCACAAGGAAGCGAGTGGTGACCGCGCCACCTCATAATACCGTCGTGTTACACTGCAAGGAGCCAATATCAGAGCCACCTGCTGTGATACAATGGTGGAGAGAGATAAAGGTAAGCGTCCCATACTTTTTAAAGCAAGATTTAATCAAGTTCAGAAGCGGCATCGCGCCCTAATCTAAGGCGAGATTTTGATCACCTTTGTGTGTTTTTTTTTATACAACTTAGAATGGTAAACAAGCTGACGGCTCACCTGATGGAAAGTGGTAACCGTCGCCTATAGACATGAGCAGTACCATGGACACAACAGAGTATACTGTTTCGCTCATGATACTACCCATGCGTTGCCATTCCTGAGTACTCAGGTCTTATTCCTCTGTAACCGGTAAATTCACGCCATATCCCACCTTTCAAACCGAAACACAGCCATGCAAACTCAACTTTTCGGTTGAAACACGAATGAGACAGAGGTATCCAAGCAATCGACTTTTGTACAAAACCTCCCTCTGGTTCTATCGCTTGTATAACGAATTGTGTTCTGATAAATTGTTAGAAGTCACCGTGTAGGTCCCGGTATAGAATTAGCCACCTTTTCCTTTCCCGTGGGTGTTGTGATTAAGGGAACTTAATTAATTATTATGTGGACGTGACTGATTTCTATAGTATAATAACGAAAAATATAATTTCCTTAAAACGGTATGAAATTCAATCTTACGTCAGAGCGTTTATGCTTTCTAATTTTCAATTTTTGTTTCAGAATGTAAGAAAACAAATAGAATCCCGGCATGGAGTGCTGGTTATACATAACGCAACTGCGGATGACAGTGGAACGTACATTTGTTCAGCCACAAATGAGTTGAGCAAGGGTTCCACTCCGTCGGAGACCACATTTTTGAAAATTACACTAGACGACAGACACACTAGGTTGGTATACCTTTTTCTCTCTATCTTGAAAGGAAAAATTACGGCATAGAATTTTTTGTATTTTGATTCTCTCTTTTTTTCCCCAAGTGGTAATCGTCGCTTGTCCTTACTAATCTATTATATAAAATTCTCGTGTCGCGTGTTTGTTACCAAACTCCTCCGAAACGGCTTTACCGATTTTTATGAAATTTTGTGTACATATTGGATAGGTTTGGGAATCGGCCAACATCTATTTTTCATACCCTTCAATGACCCACCCTTAAATATATTTTTTAAAATTTTTCGACAATATTTTTTATTTTTATTTTACTATGATTTAGCATTGAAAAATACATACAACTTTAAATTTTCACGCTTTTACGATCGACCCCTGTTTTTTAATCGTGATTTTTATATTCCGCAATAGGGTTGCAAGATGGCAATCGAATATAATAATTGTAGTACGATAAATTTTCATGTATAGTTCTCGAAATAATGTATATGGTAAAATGTTTACCGAGTCAGCTAGTAATATTATAAATGTGAACGTGAATTTGTTTGTTAGTTTGTATAACGCTTTAACGGCTTATTGAATCACTATGAAATTAGGTACACATGTACTGTATAGAAGGATATAGCTTACTTAAAGAAAGATTAACAATAAAAATATTATTTCGAATCTTTCTGAGTATTAAGTATTATTAACAGAGGGACACATTGGAAAAAGACGTCTGTAGAAGGTGTTATGTTGTACTTCTGTTGTGCTGCAAAGTATCTGTATTTTCTTGAATGCTTTTTGGTTAGAAGAGTAAGATGGCGGCAAAACTAGTTAGTACAAAAACAGCATACAAATCCTCGATAATGGATTAAGTGTGTTTTTATGATATGTATTTATATATGTGAGTAATACATATATTATGTAAGGATACATTTACAGATATTATCAGTTTGAAGAGTGGGATATGGCGTCAATTTACTGCGTACAGAGGAATTACACATGAGTCCTCAGGAATGGTAACGCATGGGGGGTATCATGGGCGAAACAGTATACTGTTTGTCCATGGTACTGCTCATGTTTATAGGCGACGGTTACCACTTTCCATCAGGTGGACCGTCAGCTTGTTTGCCATTCTAAGTTGTATAAAAAAAATGTAGTATACCAAATTTCATAGTGATTGGTTAAGCCGTTAAGTTACTATAACAAAGAAACAAACTGACTTTTACATTTATAATATTATTAAGGATTTAGTAGAATGGAACGGAAATAAACTGTTTCCGTTTCTTCAGTAGAGAAATAATCTAGTTTAAACCGGTTTTAAAATAAGGAGAAAACTCGTCTGGGAGCTATGGTGCCACAGATAAACAAAGACTTCAAACTTGCAACACTGCTCCTTTTGCGGCGGGATTTAAAAACATTAGCGTCTGAAGATTAGAAACAATTGCAACTTATCTAAGTACTCTAGTAATGCAGTCTCTTGGGATCCTTTGTGAAACTTAGCCACTAAGGGCTGTATTAGGAACACCATAGACCTAGTATAATTATTGTGAACTGATTGTGATAAAGAAAACGCCGGTTCGTGTTGAAAAGTTGTACTGACAGTTTATAAAAAATGAGTAATTAATTCCTAGCGAATTTATCACGATAGGCTAACTAACCTTCCTTTTCATCCTCATCTATCATCTATCTCTGGTGCTCCGCCAATGTATAGACAGCAATAGCGTAGGCGGGGTATTTATTCCATTTGCACCCATTAAAAAGCCGACTTCATTTATGTAAATATAGATTTATAATAGTATTATGAACTGTCTCTACATCTAGATTCCTTGAAAGAGAGGACGAGTTTGGACCAGTGGACAGTGAGGGTATAATATCGGTGTCCGCGAAAGTAAACGACACGGTACGGCTGTGGTGTGATGCTGTGGGGTCACCTCCCCCGCGCATAACCTGGAGCCACGAGAGGAAGGATCTATCGCATGCCCACGGGCACGTGCTCGCTATACCTGCTTTGACTGTAGCTGACGAGGTATGTTTTGTTTTTTTTTTTAGCTCTAGGAAGCCAGAAAGTTTGTATAATTATTAAGAGCGTTATATTTTTTTGCTAGCTCTTTTCCGCGACTTTACTCGTGATGCAACTTAAAATGGCAAACAAGCGGACAACCCGTCTGATGGAAAGTGGTAACCGTCGCCTACGATATGAGCAGTACCATGGACATAACAGAGTATACTGTTTTGCTCATGACACCCCCCATGCGTTGTCATTCCTGAGGGCTCAGGTGTTATTTCTCTGTACCCTGTAATTTTACTACCATATCTCACCCTTCAAACCGAAACACAGCTATGCAAACACAACTGGTTCATAGTAGAAACACGAATGGGATAGAGGTGTCCAAGCAAACGACTTTTGTACAGTCTGCCTTTGATCTACCCGTGTACTAAATTTTATTTAAGTCCGTTTAGCTGTTTTGGCTATTTATATCCACTGTTGAATGTTACTTTATCACCTTAATCAGAAGGTCGAGGAAGGGGCGAGGGGGGTCAGGGATTATTAATTATAGAGATTAGCGACCCCATTGTCAGCAATTTAACCTCTTCGATCGACCTCTTCGTGGTGTCCCCTGGAAACCATCGTGTTTAACAATTGTTATGTTATTCGTTACTATCGAGTTACAGACTTGTATTTATTTTCAACTCTCACTGGTGTTCCACTAGCGTATACTGAAAGCGCATGCGGGGTTACCATTCCATTATCATCGCATAACAAACAAAACCCTTTAATTATCTTTTATGACATTCTGAGTATGTAAAAGAGTCGTGACACATAATTTTCTTATGTCGTCACATGAAATGCATTTTGTAATTTTGTCTCATAGAATGCTTTGCATAGAAGTTTGGTGCGGTAATGTATGTAAAGGAGGTATCGACCGTTTGTTCTAGTGAGTGTGAATAGAGATATTTAGATACATGTAAATGTTACTTTCAAAGGCACGCTATTTCCTTTAAATATTTTCAGCAAAGGGGGAAATATAAAGGAGTAAATTGAAACAAAATTGATTTCGTGTATAGCTTAAAATATTCTTGTATTTTATCTTGCCTATAAATTGTAGTTAGTTATATAGATATGCTGTTATACTCATACCTACAGAATAGCAAATATATTTTTAGAACCTTATTCTATTTTTATACCTACATGTCAAAAGAAGGATGTTAGAATGAATATTTCAAATGTAATGCATAATACATTTGGTATATATTTAAGTGTCGTGTGCTTGTGACTTGACTGTTAATTAGGTATTTATTTCCATGTAAAGGATTCCTATTTCTTAAAAAAGGCCTTGTTATAAACTTCATTCCCTTTATTATTATTTTTTCTCACTTTCCTTTTACACTTAATTTTGCTGGTTACTCTGTTTGACTCACAGATTGTTTCTTTAGCTCTTCTAATATAGTTAATTGATTGTTGCAGTAATATTTATATATTTATTTATGTATGTATATATTTATTTATTTAATTATATGCTTATTATATATGAATATATATAGTATGATTTTTTATAATTCTTCAATTCAATAATGCACCGTCTACTTATGTCTCTGTTTGCCCAACGGTTGACTGGTAGAGAACACCGTCCGATGTTAAGTCCGCCATATGTACATAATTTTACTGTGCATTAAAATTTAAACAAATAAATAAAGACTGCCTTAAAGATTATTTTTTTTGTGATCTAATTCTTATAATTTTTGTTGTTTTGCTAAATATTCTTTTGGAGGGAACAATAGTGTCTATTTATATACAAATTTTTGACACAACGTGTGGCGGGTTTGTAGAATTTTAATAAATGGGATATCGTTAAATACGTCTTACTTAACAACGGAGTGGAAGTGATATGGGCTTTATGATGATAGTAAAATATATGACGGTCATAAATTTGTCAAAAACGTTCGAAAACAAACAGTTTAACTTGCAAAAGTAATCCATTTCAAATAGCTTTGTGAGTTTACAATAATACAATTAAAATGCAAAATAACGTTATTTTTTTATAAAATGAGAAATCATATTTGTGAGTAATCTCAATTGTTAAATCATTGATTTTTTTCTAACATCAAGTTCCACGTAGGTACCATCTATAGCTAACGAAGATTTTAACATAAACTTACACAATTTATATTAAAATCTTCTGAATAATTTAAATTAAACTTTTTAAGATGAATTTCCCTAAGCGCTATGTTATCAATTAACTGGTTTATCTCTTTCTTTTGTACTAAATTCTAAGTTTGAATGAAAGTCACAAAACAGTGTAATAGTTAAAATAGCTTTATAGGTTTTAGTTTTTATAAATAAGGACGAGGTTTGAGGCTAAGGACTACACTCTTAGCCTTAAGTTATAAATATTAAAAACTCACATGTTTAGCATTTTAAAACCTTCAAGTAAGGGTTAAATATAACTTAAATTATTTTTTAATCAAATTTTTGTTGAGGCTTTAGTACATCGGAGTGACTATGCCAGCCTCATAGGGATTGTCTGAAAGTCAGTCAGTCCGTCAGGGACACCTTTATCCATAAATATAGCCGTCTTGCAAAACTTTTAAATTGAATAAGGTACTGTGGGTCACAGACTTCATGTCATAATGGGCGTCTATGTGCCATTATTACGGAATTATAACACCATAGTCTACAGATGGGCAAAGCACCGGGTTTAAACCCGGTGCTTTGGTAAAAACCCAATAAACACCCATAAACTCCCATAATCACCCAAAAAAATAGGTTTTTACGTATTTTTTTGAAAATATGTAAGTAATACCAATAAATTATTTTTATAAATTGTATTAATCAATTCTACAATATTAAATAAAACGTTAACTAATAATATTTCAGGAAATTTTAAAAATCTATATATAATAAAATGAAAGTAATTAATTTTCAGTGTTTTCATGTTGCAGTTGATCAACATGTTGGCCTTTTGCTTCCCGTAGATACTTTAAAATTTCTTCATAACACCTCGTTCGCACACATGGCCGTATATATTTAAATTCTTGAGCCACTAACAGTCCGAAATACTCATTTCTTTTATCCTCTTCTCCATAAATTAAGCATTTAGAACAGTTTGTTTCTTCTTTCAGTAAATTTTCTTTTACTTTATCCTCGTTTTTTTCTTTGTTGCGACGACGCTGGGTAAATCATCTGGACACTGGGTCTCACTATCGCCAAATATATTTGGAGATCGGCTTCGGCTACGGCTTGGCAGACATTTTTTTCTTTCTACAATTTTAAATTAAATTTATTAGAATAAATGCTTCGAACACACGCGATCTAAGTACCTTTTGTGTTTATTATACCTTACCTACCTAGGTATAAAAAGAGTACTTACGTAGATTTTCTTTTATTAACTGTTTTATACGAAGATCTTGATCTCTCAAATTAGCATCCATTTTAGTGGCTTCCAGTGATTATCAACTAAATTAATAATCCACAAAGTATTAAATAACGTTTTTATGAAATATTTAGCACAAAAACAATACCCTTTAAATATCGATCGTCAGTAACTGTGGCTGACTTACCTATATTCTAGCAAGCAGGACTGCCAGATGTGAAGGGGAAATGAGCGTTCCTTTAGTATCCAAGGCTACATACATAATAACAAAAGAAATCGACTTACAACTGAAAGAACTGAAAAAATTTCATTCATTTGTTATAACTGGAATCTTAAACATAAAGCTGAATGCGAGGACATTCAGTTTAATGAAGAAAATACCTTAGAAGCTTTCATTGAGCAAGTAAATGAACATAACAGTTTAGACGAAATAGAGCCTATCGAACCTATACAATTCATCGCTTGTAATAACTCTGAATCTGACAGTGATTGACTGTAGTTTTACATTTTACTTTCATCTCTTTCTTAATAAACTCAAAATCAAATTAAAAGTTTTTTATTCTGTAGGCTGCATAATAATATTGTCTATGTCCAGTATAGTGGACGTCTTGCGGCTGAGACGACGATGATGAAGTACAAAATCATAAACACCCAAAAATTTGGGTGTTTATGGGGTTTAAACCCAATAAACCCAAAACACCCGGTTTTTACCCACCAGACTTTAAACCCACCCAGGTGGATTGCCCATCTCTACCATAGTCATTAAGAATGGTAACGCGCGATGTACCATGGTAGTCACATAGTATTCTGTGATATCCATTATGCTGTTCATGTCTATAGGCGACGGTCACCACTTTCCATCAAGTAGGCCGTCAACTGGTTTATCATTCGTAGTTGTATAAAAGAATAACTGTGGGAAGAGTACTTGGACGATATCTTTATTGCAGCAATTGCTAATGGTCATCTACCATCATTGTTTTGCCGTGTGGTCCCGGCATAGAATGGACCACGGGGTAGAAAAGGTTCTATCCCGTGGGTGTTTTAAGAGGCGAGTAAGGGAACTATATGGTCATCACCTCAGCATTACCAAAGCCTAACTGCGGTTGTCAACCTTTTTTTTTAACGTCTGGAAAATGCTTTATTTTTTAGACCCATACACCTTGTGGGAGGAGAATGGGTACTGTGGGAATCTCCCCGTAAGGTGGGGGTGTACCCACCAAAACCAGACGATATACCCTCGAGGTGGCATATGTCGGACACATGGGTTCGCTTTCGCACTCACCACATCTCTGACGGCAGCGAACCTGCCCGCCAAGCATGGCAACTATTGGCGAAAGCCCCCTTATGGGGCCTATGTTCAGTAGTTAACAGCTAATATGGCATGGTATTCAGCATCATTAAATGTATTCGTTCTTGTATCATATTAAGAATATTTTTTCCAGGGTGTATACCATTGCACGGCCAATAGGCAACGCCGGTCATGGAAGGTGGTAGCACTCCAACCACCCCGTTGGGAGGGATCAGTGGGCAATGTGAGTGCGTGCGAAGGCAGCGTCGCTGAAGTGGTGTGCGGTACACTTCACGGACAACCACCGCCGCAAGTGTACTGGCTGCTTAATGCCAAACCACTGAAACTTGGAGCAGGAATTCAAGCTAACGGTGAGAAGTTTTGTATATTTTCCCTTAATGCTAATACCTGCCGGATTATCTATAATATTATTTATTTTATTTTTTTAATCTACGTTTAATTTGGGATTTTTGTTTTTTAACATGTCAATCCCATAAAATCTAAACAAGTTATCTACTATTATAATTATAACTAAATGATACTACTCACTTAAGCATAAAGCAATTTTGGCAGTAGGAGCATGCGTTATAGTCTGAACAATAGGCGACGGTTACCACTTTCCATCATTTTGCCGTCAGCTTGTTTGCCATTCTAAGTTGTATAAAAAAAAAAAACTCTGAACAATACCAATATAAAAAAAAAAAAATTAATTAGTAAGCAAACATATGTAAAGCAAGCAAATATATCACACATACTGCAAGAACTTAATTCAAATGGAGTTCCTCGATTCGGTTGTATTTTTTTTTTAGATTTGTTACTTTGTAACTGTAATGTTGTCTAAAGCGGTTTAATATCTTGTCTTTAAAGTCTTTAAATCAAAATAACAGGTTTTGCCACCATTGAAGTCTCTTTTTTGTGGAACACAATTTTTATTATTAATTGGATGATAATGGAGTTTTTTTTTCGATGAGTGAAAATGGTATGGTAACCCCGCCTGCGCTAACGGGATACGCTGGCGGAGCACCAGTGAAGGGTGATAGATGAGAATGAAAACAGACCAGTTAGCTCATCATGATGAATTCATCAGGAATTAACCATGATAGTTTCCAGGGGGAACCGCGAGGAGGTCGACCTGGTTGGGTATATTGCTAGCAATGGGATTTTCAGTCTCCATTACTAACAATCCCTTTCCCCCCTGATAATGGTGTTATTAGTGTATGTTGGCGGGCCAATAATTATGGGTGAAAATTAACCTACTGACGTATTGTTCGCTCTAGGAATTAGGATAATTTCCAAGGGGTGACTGTGTCTAGGTCAACTTGACAGGGTATATTGTTAGCAATGATTAACCTCCTTATAACTAACAATCCTTTCCCCCCACAAGGGCAAATTAATATACATCATTAAACAACAAAATCCTAAAGTGATCACAAAGCAGCAGGGAAACAGCGTTACTGGGAAATCACAGAAATTTCTGTTGTTTTGTTTGTCTTCGACGCAAATAGAATGTTGTGTAACAGAACAGAACAGTAATCGTACCCCGGGTGAAATGAGAATTAATTTTATTTATTTTATAATGAAAAGTAAATTATAAACTCAGCACTGAGTTTGAGAAATGAAGTGGCGATTCAACTAAAGTTTGATTACGGAAACCAGTTTCTTTCCGAGTTCTCTATGTTACCTATCCTTAAGGAGATTAGTTCGTCTCGTAGCTCGAATTTTATTACGGCTTCGTCTATTTATTAAGAGGATTTTTCCCGGCGACGCTACACACAAAACTTAGTCTTATTTAATTTCGTTTATTAGGAATATTTCGTTTTTAGCTTATTGCTTTACTGTACAATAAATTAAATCAAACTTATTAACGTATTTTGTTATTAGGATAAGGTTATTACTACTAGGTTTTCCTTTATGTAAATCATTTGACAAAATATAAATTAAAATCACGTTTTTTAAGTTATGTCTTTAAAAAAATATTCAATACGACGCCAATATTCAATAGGGCCACCTTCTACCATCATACAGCACGCCATCGACGGGGAGTTCACTCCCATACCTTAGAATATAGATGATCACGTACAGCGCGGTTTCAGAAATATTGCCTCTTACGAATGCTCAGAATATAGAATGAGCTCCCCGTCGAGGTTTTTCCAAGAGACTACAGCATGAAGTTCTTGGAAAAAGGGATAAAGACATATCTTCAGAGTTAGCAACGCGCGCGTAATGGCTTTGGTATTGCAGGCGTTTATAGGCTAACCGCTTACCACTAGATGGGTCGTATGTTTGTTTGCTAACTTAGTGGTATAAAAAAAAGTAGTAATGTAGGTAGCTCCTTATATAATTATCCCTAGTGTTCTTTTGTTTCTTATGTTTCTTATGTTATATATGTTATACTTATTTATTTATTCATAAATTCAATTATCAATTGAACAAAATGACGGCGTTGCTTCTAATCTGAACTCAACTGTGATTAAGTGATTAAAAAAAAAAAAAACAAGACCTACGAATACTATTTATTTATTTATATTCCTTTTTAATTATTAGTCATTATCCATACTTTCACCCTTGACCGTGTGGTACCAGCGTAGAATAGGCTACCCCTTCCTATCCCGTGGGTATCGTAAGAACCGACTAAGGTAAAGCGAGGGATGGGTAGCAGCGTCTCTTTTAAAACATCTCCAAAGTTTAATTGCGGTTGCCGATCTATCTGCCAAGCGTGGCAACTACTGGCAACTCCCAAAGGGGGATGCATATGTTCAGCAGTGGACAGTTGAAAGCTGATATGATGATGATCCATATATTGATTAACCGTGGTAACTGCTTATGCAGGAGGAAAGGGATTGTTAGTAATGGAGACTAAAAATCTCATTGCTAGCAATATACCCAACCAGGTCGACCTCCTCGCGGTTTTGCCTGGAAACTATCATGGTTAATTCCTGATGAATTCATCATGATGGGCTAACTGGCCTGTTTTCATTCTCATCTATCACCCTTCACTGGTGCTTCGCCAGCGTATCCCGTTAGCGCAGGCGGGTTACCATACCATTTTCACCCATTGAAAAAAAAAACTGCTTATGCACGTCTCCGTCTCAAATAGTACACGTATGTCAAATTTCATGATGTTTGATCGAGCCTTTATGAACTCAATAGGTAATAAACGAACAAACAATTTCATTTTATTATTATTTGTAGACTCAGTCCTTCACATCGAGCGCGCGGAGAAACAGCACGCGGGCATAGTGCAGTGCTTCGCGTGCAACCAGCTCGGCTGCGCATACGACGGCACATTGCTTACGGTCGTGCCTATGCAGATATCTGATGAGGTATGTATAAAACTATAATAAATACTCTAAATATAATTTATTTCCGTGAACAGTATATGTTTACAGACCGGTATAAAAAGTACTTTAAAGTAAGCCTATACTTTCTCCGTGTCTTATAATTGTACCAAATAAGCCGTTAAGGTGCTAAGAGGTAACAAACAGACAAACTCACTTTCATATTTATAATATTAGTAAGGATATTGAAATTAAAATTGTTAGTATCCTCTATTACTAAAATTAAATATTTTTCCCAAAAACACATTAGTCGAAAAACATTAAAAAATTTATAGTCTCCCATATTAAATAATAATAGCTAGGCTTTACTAGATTTTGACCACACAGCGTGTGTTAGTATTAGAGGATCAAATTTGATATGGCTACGAAAAAATATCGTAACTTACAAAGAAATAATGGTCCTGTTTTTTTTTTTTGTAAAAATGTTTCTTTTTCTTCATTAGTAGGATACGCTCTTAAAGTCAAAGGCTAATGTTATTAATACCCTTTAGTGTATAATATATGTAATTTCCAGAGAGAATTTACATTAATTTAAGTTAAATCAAATTGTTCAGGGCCTTGTCGTTTCTCTGACAATTTATAATATGTATCTATTTTTTTAGGAATATTTGGCTGAAGCCCCGAAGACATTGCATTCGTCACAACATAATAAAAAACATAGGAAACGTAAACGTAAGTTCTCAATCCATAAACTGTCTAGTTTCTGCTGCTAAAGATTTAGTTGTTATAGCGCATACACTACATCCTAAGTACAGTTACTTAGTAATAAAATTTATATTTTTTATTTTTTTTTTATTTTAATTTTAATTCAATTTATTCGCAACAATATTACATTGTGTTGAATATTTTGTATACATAATAAGAAGATATCATAAAACAACTTTACAATAAAACAAAAAGTATAAACTAACAAAATAATCTTAAATTAAATAATTTATTTATATTTATAAGATAACTTGGGTCCATTTCTGTTACATAATGTAAATGTATTTAAAAACTATGTTAATACTTAATCACTAATAATCATCTAGTCCTCTCAGCAAGCATTCTCACGAGAGGACTATCTAATTTATTTACAAACATGTTCAGGATACTGTTGCCACTGCTGCGTATCATGTCTTTATTGTTTTATTTAACATTTTTTTTTCAGCACCAACATTAGTACCTCCGTCTCGGCCAAATATAACACGGTTTTCTGATGACAGCGTTATACTGTCCTGGTCCCACCAAAATATTGGCCTACCTGTTGAATTCTATAAGGTAAATAATTCATAAAAAGTGTACTCGTATCTTATTTTACATAAAATATAAAACGGAAATTGATAATTTAGAAGATTTTTTTTTATACGATTTAGAATGGCGAACAAGCTGACGGCCCACCTGATGAAAATTGGTAACCGTCGTCTATAGACATGAGCAGTACCATGGACATAACAGACTATACTGTTTCGCCCATGATACCCCCTATGCATTGCTATTTCTGAGGACTCAGGTGTTATTCCTCTGTACCTTGTAAATTCACTTCCATATCCCACCCTTCAAAGCAAAACACAGCTATGCGAATGCAACTGCTTTATGGTAGAAACACGAATAGGACAGAGGTACCCAAGCAAACGACTTTTGTATGAAGTCTTCTTCTGGTGTGTATGTATGTAATGTAATGGGTTATAAATTAACACGGCACGTACGTATGGGAACAAATGTTAACACGTAGTCATACTTTCCAGATTCAATATAGAGAGGTGACAAATTCAAGTAACGGTAACGATTGGCAAACGGACAATACTCGGATATCACATTTCACGCATTCGTACCAAATCGACGGACTCACGCCTAATACTTATTACAAGTAAGTTGTAAACGCACTAGGGGTGGATAATATATAGCAATAACTATATATTGTATTGTAATATCTATATATTGTGTCAATAACGAATTTTTTTTTACACAACTTAGAATGGCAAACAAGCTGACGGTCCACCTGATGGAAAGTGGTAACCGTCGCCTATAGACATGAGCAGTACAATGGACCATTCAAAGCGATAAGCCCGCCTTTTGTATCATTTCTTATTACAGTTAAATGTGTTTACTATTTTATAAATGGTGCAATAAAGTGTACAAAAGTGTACATACATACATTCCATTTTCACCCATCAAAAAAAAATACGCACTTTAATAAATACATATGTTTATTTATGCAACTTAGAATGGCAAAGAAGCTGACTGCCCATCTTATGGATTATGGTAACTGTCGCCTATAGGTCCTTGGACATAACAGAGTATATCGTGTCGCTCATGATATCCTTTATGCATGCATTCCTGAGAATGTAAGAAATAAATAAGATGATAATAGTAAGTAGATAACACCATATGTTAATAAATCTGCCATTTATACTTTAATAGTGTATTAAAGTTTAATAAATAAATAAAATAAAAATAATAATAAATTGTAACAACTCACTTTTCCTTACTTTAGAGCCCATATAGCTTCATTCAGAGCCCGGATTATATGAGCACTTACAAAATCAAATTAGACTAAATCTACTGCATGATGTTTATCAGGTTTCGTGTGGCAGCAGTTTATTCGAATAAAGACAATAAACAAGGGAAAAGCAGCAGTAAATTTTTCCTGCAGAAGGGTAGTTTTCAAGCGCCAGCCACTCCGGTGCTCACAGATGTGGAGGCCATTTCCACAAATAGTGTTCGACTGTCATGGACGGTGAGTTTTGAAACGGATGTTTATAAAAATTATTAGTAAAAATAAATAGGTATATAATGTATAATTAGTATAATTTTTTTGTGCAACTTAGCAATATAATAATATGGCAAACAAGCTGACGGTCCACGTGATGGAAAGTGGTAACCGTCGCCTATAGACACGAGCAGTACCATGGACATAACAGAGTATACTGTTTCGCTCATGATACCCCCTATGCGTTGCCATTCTTGAGGACTCAGATGTTATTCCTCTGTACCCTGTAAATTCATGTCATATCCCACCCTTCAAACCGAAACATAGCTATGCAAACACAACTGCTTCACGGTTAAAACACGAATGGAACAGAGGTACCCAAGCAATCGAGTTTTGTACAAAGTCTTTCTCTAGTAAATAGGTATAATAAGTATGATAATATATTATATATATTTTACACACAATTATGTCAGCCTTTAGCTGTCCACTGCTGAACATAAACCTCCCCCTTGGTGGGTTTTGCCAGCAGTTGCTTCGCTTAGCAGGCGAATTGCTAACCAGTTTGTCTTTGGTGATATTTTAAGAGGGACGCTGCTGCCCATCCCTCGCCCTTAGTCTGAGTAGTCGATGTCATAAGACGCTCACGGTAAATGAAGGGGTGGCCTATTCTATGCCGGGACCACACGGCAAGTTTTATATATTATATAGATATATTAGTTGTGTGGCTTCAGCATAGAATGGGCCATACCCTCCTTTCTCATGGGTATCGTAAGTGGTAATTAAGGAACAAAAATGTTTGAGAGATGGACAACAGTGTTCATCTTAGAGTATCGCCAAGGCGATGGTTGCCAACTTGCATGCTAAGCGTGGCAACTACTGGCAAAACTCTTTATGAAAGAAGCTTCTATTCAGCAGTGGAAAATTAACGGCTGATATGATGATGATGATGGTGATGATATGTAAACCACTGTTCTACTAATATAAACATACATACATACATATCTGTCACGCCTGTCTCCTATTAGGGTAGGCAGAAACAATGGAATAAAAACTACTAGTATAAACTAGGTGTTTATAAATATGCTCGTTCTTTTTATAACTATACATTGTTATTTATTAATTATATTGATTAAAAAAAATGCCGTCTGTTGACTTGATGTAATATATCTATGATGTAATATATATTTTGTATGTAAGATGTAATATATATTTTGCTATAATTCATTTGTTATTTCAATTTTCTTTCTTATAAAAAACTGCAATTATCAATGTACCTAAAAAGATTCATTTTGAACACTAGGTCTATCCCGCGGCTTTACCCGTTTGAATCACTATATAAGTATTATATGTGCTAAGTTACTGAGTGGATTTGAATGAAACGTGGTAAACGAATAGGTTGTATAGTAATATAACATAAGGTATTTTATCTACTAATCCACTAAGGCGGGACGCAGCTAGTAAAAAAACAAAATAAATTAATATTTTATTATAGGAAATTTAAGGTCAGTTAATTATTTTAAAAATACACTCGAGATAGGGACCTCCTTTTTGAAGTTGATTGAAAATAATCTTTAATCATTATAGCCTTTAATATTTACTCTTAACGTAAAAAAAAATCAGGAAAATGTGTATTTTGATATTTTGCTCTTTTTAATTTTTTCCCCACCAGGGGGAGTACCGTTACGGCCTTGCGTTCTATATCGGTTATTAATTAATTTTACAAGCGGTGTAAAAAAAATATTCTGTACTAACTAAAATATGCGTGTATATTTATTTCATTACCGTGTGGTCCCAGTATAGGACGGACCACCCCTTTCTTTTTAGTGGGTGTCGTAAGAGGCGACTAAGGGAACTTAATGGACGTGGTGAAGTGGTAACTGTCGCCTATAGACATGAGCAGTACCATGGACATAACAGAGTATACTGTTTGCCCATGATACCCCCATGCGCTGCCATTCTGAGGACTCAGGTGTTATTCCTCTGTACCCTGTAAATTCACTGTCATATCCCATCCTTCAAACCGAAACACAGCCATGTAAACACAACTACTTCACGGTAGAAACACGAATGGGACAGAGGTACCCAAGCAATCGACTTTTATGCAAAGTCTCTCTCTAAAATAATATTTATTATTTCTATTATTTTATGTGTACTTCGTAAAATTTTCATACGGAAAGCCACGTCTGTGGCTTCCGTGTACAACGAAAGCGGCGTTGAAACTCAATACGCGAGTAATAGTAGAATATGTATGTATATATACATAGTATATATTTTTAACCGACTTTAAAAAAGGAGAAAGCTCTCAATCCAGTTATATTTTTTTTGTTTATTTATAACCTTATAACTCTTGTCATTTATACATTAATTTAGATATTCTTCTCTTATCTGAAAAGGGTATACTTTAAGATAACTTTTATAGACATTTTCTTAACAGTCCAGTAGTTTAGTTAACACTATTGAAGTCGCTGTTATTTTGAACAAAATCTTAAGTTATTGATTGCCATTTTTGACATATATTAAATAAGATTTATATATTTAAATTGGCAGTTAGTTTGTAAGGGGGGAAAATGGGCTTTTTACTTTTTTTCTGCCTTAGTTTTTCTTTTTACAAGAACCTTACTTGGTCTTCAACGAATATTAAAAAAAAAATCACCGCTTTTATGTTTTGAGGTTAGCAGCACATTTAGTAATTTTTTTTATGTACATTATTGATTTTTTTTTTAATTGAACAGTGGTCAAGGGAGGGCGGCGTGATGCCGGACGGCTTCTACGTATGTTACCGGACGGTGTCGAGCGCGGGCTCGTACGAGAAGGCGATAGTGGCGGGCGGCGCGGCGGCGCGTTCCGTTGTCATCTCGCACCTGCTGCCCGACACGGCATACGAGTTCAAGATATGGGCCTATACGGCGCAGGCGCCTTCCAATTTCAGCAAGATAAAGGTGAGATAAGGGCAAATTTATATTTTCTTCGACAGGAGTTTTTGTTTTGATTTTTTTATGACATAGTTAATATCTCTGAATAACAGTTATCTATACATATAGTAAAATTGTAGAGGTCGAATGTCTGTACATAGAAAAAAAAACGCTAAAAATCGAGTCAGGAAGATGTTAGAAGTGAAATAGAACAGATCTAGGTTTTTTAATTTTTTTGTATCTCTGTCTATTTTTACGGGCTAATCTCCGAAACTGTTGGACCGATTTAAATGAAATTTTGCATGGTGGTACCTTATATCCCCGTTCAACATTTTAGATAAATAGATAGATACTCTTTGTTGTTACCTCCAAAAGATTACAATAGTAAACTTATTATAAATATAAACAATTACAAGAAATAATCACAATGAGCAAACAAGAGATACTTAGATTTAGATAATTTTAATCACGGAAAATGAAAGAGTTCCCGTGGGATAGTTAAAAAACTATAATAACTTATACAGCTTAGTACACAATCTACTTAAGTAAACCCATTTTGACCTAAGGCAAAGAGTGAGAACGACACGTCATTTTGTTAATTTTCGCCCAGTATTCCCAGACTCCCAATAGGTACATACATCGATATATTAGTATGTATAATATACATATACACAATATTATATAACATACATTATTATTATATACATATTACATACAATAGTATGTAACAGGAATAATAAATACCACATGGATATAGTCGCGGGCATCAGCAAGTTACATTTTTAACAGATTACGATAAAATTTACATATAGATATTTGTAACATTCCTTTGTCATCAACAAACGTCATCACACGTCGCCGTACGTACAGAGTACAAAGGATAATATAACCCGTTATACTATGTGGAGTTATACTACGTGAAGTCGTACTAGAGTATGTCACCTTTTGGGACGTATACATTCGTGTTTACCCTCTAGAAATGCTATCTCAGTATATTCCGTTTAAGGCAACGTATTCAAGCTATTGAAGTAACATTTCTGTACGCTGCCCAAGTAAACTCTTTACGACATTCGGATAGTTTTCTTCCGTAATGTATAAATATACAAATAGAGAACTAGTGGTTGTCCAAGGTTTCGCTCCATTAATATATATACATATATATTTATTTAAACTGTAATGCACAGTAAAATTATATGTACATTTGGCGGACTTAACACCGGACGTCTCCTCTACCAGTCAACCATTGGGCAAACTGAGAAATACGTAGGCGGTGCATTTTGAATAGAGGAAAAGTAAAGCAATACTTGATAAATTCATATAATATAAACATACACATAATATAAATAATGTAAATAAATATATACATACAATAAATACATACATAAATAAATGAAAAAAAAATAAATAAATGAATAAAACAACTGCAATAGAAGAGCAAATAGTAATCACGACTCAAACAGAGTAATCAGCAAGAGAAGCTTAAAGGGAAAGTGATTTTTCTAAGAAATAGGTGCGCAATTTGTGTTTAAAATTATGTATATATGTGTATATATATATATATATATATATATATATATATATATATATATATATATATATATATATATATATATATATATATATATATATATATATATATATATATATATAAAGTTATAAGAAAACCGAAAATTCACATCGCTTACAATGTTATAACAATTAAAACTGTTCTAAATTTACATGAGAAAATAAAATCTAAATACATGTAATAATAAGTCAAGACAGAAACGTTATATTTTTGCAAAATTTGTAAGGATTTATTTAATAATTAAGATTTATTCTATTTTAAATAAGTTTAACTATTTTATATAACTGTAATTTTACCATTGGTTCTATATGAAATATTATCTGTTACACAAATAATTGGCTTACGAGTACATTAGTAATATCAGATACCATATTGTGAACGGCGCTGTTTATTTTATTTTTATATTTTACATTTATGTTCTTTTTGTATTTTATGATCGACTAGTGATCTGGCCCGGCTTCATACGGGTAGATTGAATTTTCGAAAATAATATATATACAATTTTACTCGCTGGTAATGTAGTTTTCTATATTGTAATAGTAGTAGGTGAAAGAATTTTTGAAATCGTTTGACTGCTGAAAGTAGTCTTTAGACTAATGCAATTTTTAATGCAATTTATTGCATTAAAAATATTTTTTTAAAAAGAAATTTAAAAAAGTAACTGAAAGACTGACTTATCGAGAAGGGCTTCTATACTGTAAAAAATTCTTAAAATATAAATAATCTCTAATGCTAAATTTTATTAATGTAATAACAATTGGCAGTGACGTGATTACCACTACATAGTATAAAACAAAGTCGCTGTCGCTCTCTGTCCGTCCATATTTATGCTTGTATCTTTAAAACTACGCAACGGATTTTAAAACGGGTTTTTTCTTTAATAGACAGAGTGATTCAAGAGGAAGGTTTATATGTATAATACATGCATAATATTGTTGAGAAACACTGATAAATTTAGAGGTTTCTAATGTGATGTCGTACATAAATACATTTTTTTGCGCTTATATTGCAAATGCTGGCTGAATCTTATGAGATACGTTAAAATAATGTCGGGGGGCAAATAATGCGGCGTTATTTAGTATCAGTATTGTACCTGTGCGAAGCCGGGGCAGGTCGCCAGTTATTGGTATAAATTAAACAAAAAAATTGATTTTTAAACTTTATTATTATTATATAGAAAACGCTATATTCTCGAATAAAAATGACAAACTTGTAATGGGAATGACATAATTAATTAAAACTGCACTTGTAATTTTGAAAATTATGAATAAATGATCTGTATTGCATATTTTGAGTTTATCCATTACAAAAAATTAAATCTTTGTAGTGTAGAATAGATATAGATAATATTCAAATTTATTATAAAAACAGTTCTAATTATCTAATCATCATCATCATCATCATCATCATCATCATCATCATCATCATCTGTCTTCTTCAACTGTCCATTGTTAAACATAAGGCTCCCCTTGGGGGATTTTGCCAGTAGCTGCCACGCTTGGCAGACGAGTTGGCAACCGCAGTCAGGTTTTAGAGATGCTTTAAGAGGGACGCTGCTGTCCATCGCTTATCTTCCCTTAGTCGGCTCCTACGACACCCACGGAATAGGAATGGGTGGCCTATTCTATGCCGGAACCATACGGCCATTATCTAATATACTTATATGCAAATAGATACGTGGTGCAAACAATGCATTACTAGAAAATATTAGATGCAGTTTATGTGAGAGCGTGTCTGGTTGCCGGCTGCACAATCGTAACTCGTAGCCGCAGCATTTTAGCTCCGAGATAATGCTGCGGTAGATATCGGACGCTTACAAATGGATGCTATGCAAGCCAGTAATATAATATCACTGGGCATTCAACGTAGTTCGTATTATATCGTATGCGCTTGTTATCTTTGAAAAATAATAGCATCAAAAATTTTCCATGTATTCAATACATATATATGCCACGTGGTTCCCCCTGGCAACCTATTTTTTTTTAATGAGTAAGAATGGAATGGTATCCCCGCCTGCGCTATCGGTATACGCTGGTGGGGTATCAGTGAGAAATGATAGGCGAGGACGGAAGCAGGTCAGTTAGCCCATCGTGATGAAAACCACAATTAGAATTAACCGTGATGGTTTCCAGGGGGAACTATGCGGAGGTTGACCTGATAGAACTTGTAGGATAGGGATTGCAATGGGGCTGTAAAATCCAATTACTAACAATCTTTTTCCTTTCGATAACCATCGAATTAATTTATGTCGAATACGTCACGATGGGCTAACTGACCTGCTTTCATCATTTATCATTATTCTTCATTGGAGCTTCACCAGTGTATACTGATAATGCAAACGGCTGTTATTTATTCTACTACGAATGTGGTAAACGAGCATACAGCAAGGGTTACCATTCCATTATTATCTATTAAAAAAAAATACTAATGAATTGTGTTCTTCCCGTGCACAGACTGCCAAGACCCACCGCGAGAGCGTGGTGGAGGAGTCGAGCCGCGCGGCGCCGTCGGACCGCGAGCCGGCGGCGGGCGCGGCGCCGCCCGCGCTGCTCACGGGCGGCGTGCTCGGCGCCGCCGCCGTGCTCGTGCTGCTCGCGCTCACCTTCCTGCTGTGCCGCCGCGCCCGCCGCCCCGCCGCCGACAGTAACTACTCACACGTTATACAACACATTCCACACCGAAGCTCACGTTATGCTCCGTCTACAGTTCATGCCGAAATGTACCATGTAGCGTCAGCGCCCGGACACTAAGCCTTAATTGGTCAAAAGCAATCCCCAGTCCTTTCAGGCGAGGAACGAGATATCGATAAATCGATGGCCTGAGAAACTAGCAGACGTTTAAATCACATAGCAGTGTCCTCACGCTAAAATTTAGTATCCGGTAGGCCCGAGATTGCAAAAGGCATCGCTGACTTACAGTCAGCGTTGCCAGTTTAGGTACTTTTTTCGCAATTTTGGGTAATTTTTTATCTATTCGCGTAATTTTGGAGAAATGAAATCCTTGGACAAAAGTTTGGAGAAAAGTGAAATGAGCTTGGAGAAATATGGGTATATTTTTTTGGAGATTTTGGGTAAAAGTTTTAATATTTGTAAACTCTGTACAGGTAAAGAATTACTTTTTTTTTCGTCATTCATTTTGTGGCACTAAGAAAAAAAGTAGTGGAAATGGTCGAGTACAAATTCTGAAAATCATATCGATTTGGACAAAAAATATTTGACGTTGGGCTAAAAATCAAAATTCGCTTGTGACAACCCTACCGTAAGTCATTCTACGGAGTGCCATCTGCACTCGTCACCATAACCTCCGGCGAAGCTGTAGACGGAAAAAACCTTTTGACCGTTGGACCGATTCACTTTGTAGCAATTGCCGTAGCGCAATCGGGAATATCCGCGTTTGTTACTTTTTTTTTTAATTTTTCTGTGACAAGTAATTTTAAAAACCTGTAAAAACCTTTCTATAATATTTTTAATATTCTGTTTGTATTTACTACTGCAATAAACAGTAAAATAAACATGACAACAATTTTTTTAATTTCTATTTAATTTTCTTAAAAGACATTTTTTTTTCAGAAGAAAAAGGATCAGTACCTGAAAGTGGTGGTGCCAACGGCTATATACCGGCCAAAGTGCCTATCACTATTACGGCAAATCCTATGCACGCCGAGGTAAAATATTATAACTGTAAAAAAATAAATCTATCATATATATTCTCGGTTTGTTTAATTGGCTAATTGCAAAATACATATTTTGAAATTAAATTAGTGCTTATCAAAACATAAAAAAAGTTTGTTACGTTTTATAATTTCTGCTGATTACAAGTTTATTTTTTTATTTTATTAAGTGAAAGCACAGATGTCAATACCGAGAATATTTGAAAAAGAAATATTTTGCAAAAATATTCTGGTTAAACCTTTTCATATTTTACTTGTAAATTTACTTATGAATGCTTATTTATTTTAAAACTTAAAGCACATAGCAACGTAGTTTTAAGCTTACTACTTTATTTTTTATATACAGTACACAGAGTATTTATACCTTCGGGATTGCAGATAAATCCACGTTATACCTAAAACCTGTACCACGTAAAATGATATATTAAATAAAAAATGAAGATAACGACTAACTAACTGCTTTTTTATGTCCACAGGGAGGTGATGGTGGGGTAGAAATGTCTTTTATTCACAACAATAACACTGGGAATGATGATACATTACCCCATTCCAGGAAGAACGGCCCAGCACGGCAATATGTGTGAGACGAAAAAAAGAGACTTGAGGTCAGTAACCGCGAACAAATTAGGTGTTGCCACATTTTTTATTTTAGTAGAAATTGGCAATATTGTGGCGTATTATTATGAATAAATTGTGATACGAGTTTTGAATAAGTATAAATCATTAACACAGTGCGGGGACATGCAACAGTACAAAATTATTTAATTATAATGTAATTTAGCATGAATGTAAAATTGTGTGCCAATTGTGAAAAACCATTGTGTTTTCGGATCTGATCATCACGAAGTTATAATTATTTACAATTAATGCTAATTAGCTATAAGATTTACAATTAATTTTATTTATTATTCAACTGCCTCTAATTCGTAGAGATAGGTGTTTGTTATAAAGTAAAATAGATCTGATTATGTTTCCAATGGTACTAGTTAGATAGGTACGTGTGTAAGTTTGTTACGCTTTGATTTATTATTATTTTATGTTATTTCAATATCAGAACTGTGCACTTGGAAGTTTTATATCTAACATAGGAGCAAATTATTAGCAAAAATGTTTTACATGGCAATGTACTTAAAAGTATTCGTAAATTATCGTTGTTCTTTGAACTTGTTGTTTTGAAGTTCTCAACAGCTTAATGTAAGGACTATAATGTATTTATTTAATTATCTAATACTTAATAGCTGCTATTTATTTGAAAGGTTGTGATGGTGTCCATATGTATTGCATAAGGTTTTATTTTATCTATGAGTCTGTTGTCTGTGGTATCAACTGCGCCCACTTAATTAATTTATCGTAGAACGGAATGGCATTGGTACGACTTTATGATTTTATCGTCACGATATAGTAGGAATATATTTTACAATATATAATAGTATTAGTAGGTAAATGTTTTAATTTTGCGTGCACGATAACATCAATTTGTGTATTTTTATGATATCGTGATAGCACGATACACGGAATTTTTTTCCTATGAAAATTACTCAAAAAATAAAAGTCTTTATACCATCGCCTACATTTGGCCCCCATATTATATCAAGACGATAAAATCGAGCAATGCTCTGTCGTGTTACGGTAAATAATAGAGGTACTTATTATCTGCCGTTCTCGTGAGAATCTTTTTTTTAATGGATACCTCATCATGAAAATTATCTTTATTAAAAAAAATCAAGTTTTTTTTTATAATCCTAGCGGTTTTTTATGTGTTTATATGTCAGTCACTTCTTTAATAGGTATATGATGAAGTCTTTTTCTATGAATAGATTTCTTCTAACATTTATTATGCAGAAGATATCTAAGTATATGTATATACAAATATTGACAGTGAAGTGTCAATAACTCAGTATTTTTTTAAGAAATGGACGTTTTTTACGACTTTATAGTGGAAATAATATACTTTACGATGAATTCCGTATATATATTTAATAGAATCTCGCGAATAAGAATTTTATATTATTCTAGATAAACATCTCCTAGTAGGATAATTATTATGCAAATTGTAGGTTGATATATCGGCACACTTTCGATATGACCGTAAGTAATTCGTCAACTTCTCATGCAACAAGTTATTTTACAAAAGTATAAAAAGACATAAAACAAATCAAAAGATATAATGTGTATTCAAATTTGTAATATTTCTTTTATATTGAAGAATACCTTTATTTTTTATGTCACGAATATTTCGAATTCGTTGTGCGCCTACTTTTGACACTCCACAGTGTCAAAAGGTGTCAAATTTACTCACCTAATTTGACATTTGACAGTTTAAATTTGACACATTTTTTTTAAATCAAAACTTTACGTATTTTATTTCAGTGTTGCAAGTAATTTGATTAAAACAGTAGATACATAAATGCAGAACTGTTACTTTATGTCATTTTTAATATCTTTCCATCGAAAACTGTTAGCAACGGAGTTACATGATCGGCCTGTAGTTAAATGATCTTTCGTTTAATTCTAACATAAACTTTAAAATATATCTATCTCTATCTTACTTACTTACTTAAATTCCATCTTTTTAATATCTTGTCCTGTTTCCTGTTTGTTAGTGGCATTATGGTCAATACTAACACCCTAATTCTATCTTTTTAATGCTTCGTTCTATTTCTTGTTTATTAGCGGCACATTGGTCAATACTAGCTCTGCTCTAGCCTAAAAAATTAATGTAGGCTTAATTTATATGCAATAAAGGTTCACTTTATTTTAATTGTAAACTGCAACAAAATAACTGCATTTAGTGCACTCGTTTATTCTGACTCATGTTTAAGACTGAAGATGAAACTAATTTAATGTCATTATAGATATTGTGTATCAGTATAAATAATTATAAATATATTAATATACGTAATACTTTTTATTTCATTGACTTAATTAAATATAGACTGATTTTAATACTTAACAATTTTATTCGCTTATAAATTTATAGATATACGAAATTGTACATATATTTTTTTAATTAATATTACTTCTTACAAAAAATTGACTTCAATTTTAACAAAAAACGGTTATACTAATGATAATTTTATATTTAATAATTGTATTTTTATTAAAAAATATATACTATGTCGAATTTAATATTTGAAGTTGGTTAAAAGTACTAGCAACCCAGTCTGGTTGTGGTACGGTCAGTATCAAAATCCAAAAAAAAAAAATCGATAAACATTAAGATATTCAATACCCCTTCACTCCATAGTATACGTAGGTCCTTGTATATATTCAACTTATTTTATCCTTAACATACATTCAATTGGATACATTCAATTGGATATTTGATGGCTTAAACAAAGTGCAAACGAATCTATCGATAGAATCGTTTCGGTCAAAACTCACGCGAGAAAGAATAAGACAACCTAAGTCGCTATCCCATTCTATTTCATGGACTCGCTACCAATAAAGATTATATTGACAGGTTTGTTTGTACTTTGTTTAGGGGCTTATTTATTGTTTATAACTTTGGAAATCTGCAGATATTCATCGATTTTTATGCTGACTGTACTTTGTGGTTGTTGAGTATATTTTATACTTTGGCAAATTATTTTTCTAATATGTAACTTCACAATGTTATCGTTCTCATATTGTGATTTGTGATTATTATGTTTAATATTTCTTATGAAAATTCAATTTACAGTCAAAATATTGTACACACAATATTTATAAATGTAGTATGTATATTTCAGAAATTACGAATTATTACAATAATCTGTTTTAAAATATAAAAAATATACAACTTAAATAAATTATATCAAATTACGAATGTATTTTATTTCTTTATATAATATCATAATATATCGTCGAGATAAAGAATTGAATTTATTTTTGGATATAATGTCAAAAAAAAATATAAAGTCAATAGTCGTTGTGGTTACTTTTTCCATCTCTAGTAAATAAAAAAAAAGATGATTTTCTATTTTTAACCAACTATTAAAAATGGAGATAAAATTTTATATGCCAGTAAGGTGCAACAATTTATAAGTTTCGAATATAACGTAGTGATTACTTGCTCTATGTAGTGTATTTGAATTAAGAACACGAATAGATAAATTGTTTTTTGTTCCACTGTGTTTTACGATAAAAGAGTTGTCAAATGAAAATATTGTATATTGGCTGGATATAAAAAACTAATTGACCCTCGAAGTTTTCCCTCGAAAAATATATGTCTTTGTTTCTTCTGTAGTTTCTAGCAATGAGTGTCTCTACTGCATCGATAACATAAGCACTACAAGGTCGGTGTCACTTTGAGCAAAAAAAGGCTGTATAAAATATATGCAACCATTTTATTGCATTTAAAAATTTTACTTTATAAAGTATTTTTTTTTTTATACAACTTAGAATGGCCAACAAGCTAACGGTCCACCTGATGGAAAGTGGTAACCGTCGCCTATAGACATGAGCAGTACCATGGACATAACAGAGTATACTGTTTCGCCCATGATACCCCCCATGCATTGCCATTCCTGAGGACTCGGGTGTTATTCCTCTGTACCCTGTAAATTCACGCCATATCCCACCCTTCAAACCGAAACACAGCCATGTAAACACAGCTGCTTCACGGTTTATACCCAAGCAATCGACTTTTGTACAAAGTCTCCCTCTGGTGAGTAGCTGGGCTTTTTATGATACTTATCGATATCGGTATTCAGGTTAGAGGTATATAATACTAACAGTACAACATTATGAGTATTAATTTATTACATTATACTGATACTTCAAGGTAATTGGATGGAATCGTTTTCCAAGTAATAATACTCTCCAATACCTATAATACTATAATACCTGTCCGTACCTATTAATACCACTCTCTTCATGGGTTTACAGTGAAATATAAATTAGAAAAAATACTGTAAGGTACTGTTCATATCTATGAACGACGGTGGTTACCACTTCCCATCAGGTGGGCTGTCAGCTTATATGCCATTTTAAGTTGCATAAAAAAAAAAAAAAACTTAATGGCGTAGCGGGAATATTAAACACTGTTCGTTGTTTTTGTGTTCCCCATTTATTATTTCTTTTAAACAACACAAATTACGAAGTGCAAGCGTGTGTATTTGTTTATTAGTTACTAGTTGTAATCCATGACTTTGCCTGCTTGAGTTATAATAAAAATATCGTATTTATAGTGTACTTACTTTTAATTTGCATAGTTTATTTATATACCAAATTTACATCTGTTAAACAGTTTATTCTTTTTTTATTTGGGTAGTGGTATTAAACAAAATAATACCTTTTTTCTAAATTTTTTTAATACAATTATTGTTTAAAGGAAGGCCTTAAAAAGACCAAAATGATTCTACTATTTGATGGACAGACTAATGCGCTGGCCGAAATAGATGCCAGTTCTTTTGTCCCCAGAGACATGATCAGGCGGTAAAAGATTTGTTTAAAAACCCTCTTAGCCTTGCCCCCCCAGGGTCCTATCGTTCAAACCCCAACCAGCACAAAGGCAGTCCTAATTTAAAGTTACAGTATAATATCATGATTATAGAAATGTGTGTAGGAGCAAATATTTTTAATCTATCTTTTGATAGTTGCATTAGTTACATGTACTAGAATTAAATTGTATTTCACAATATTATTTAATACGAGCGGACAACTCAGGGTAGGCATTAGATTACATAGAAAAAAAAAAAAACTTGTGATACCAAAATTTCACACTATATCAAAAGAATGCTTCATTTATGGTCCAAAAAATTTATAACAAACTTTTCTCAGGTTTCTTAGACTTGCCCTTAAAAATATTAAAAAAAAAAGGTTACAAAAATACTGATTTTGATAAAATTTCTATGGGACTGTAAGAATTTTTCAGATAAAGAATAAATTTTTCAAACCCACTTAGAACTAACGGAATTATGAGGTAATAATCATAAAAAAATACAATCGAATTGAGAACTTCCTTCTTTTTGAAGTCGGTTGAAATTAAGGGGCATCCAAAAGAAGATGGTTCTGGGCGTGAATCCAAAATATAAATATAATTATATTTTTTATTTTTTTTATACCACTGAGGTGGCTAACAAGCATACGACCCACCTGATGGTAAGTGTACGGTGTGTACGGTAACCGTAGCCTATGAACACCTGCAATACCAGAGGTATTACGTGTGCGTTGCCGACCCTGAAGAAATCTCTTTACCCCCCTTTTAAAGAACCCCATGCTGTAAAAACCTCAGCAGGGATTTGTATATTGTGATTATATTTTGTTTTGTGACTACTATGTACGTCGATTATATCATATATTTGAACCTACAATATATCAGTTATTGTTTTTATAATTGATGAGTGATTTACCTTTTCGCTAGTAAAAATAAATATTATGTATAACTCACATAATTGTAATTTTTCTAGGTATTTCTAATTTTTTTTAAATAATTATAACGGGTCTATAGGTGACGGTTACCATTTTCCATCAGATGGGCCGTCAGCTTGTTTGCCATTCTAAGTTGTATAAAAAAAAAATTTAAAGAATTTTTAATATCGATTAAGTAGTTTTTGAGTTCATCTATTATAAACAAACAATAAAAATTTTCCTTTTTATATGTAGTTTATTGCTGTTTTGGTCCCTTAATCATATCAGCCTTTAACTGTCGACTGCTAAACATTAGTTTCCCCCTTTAGGTGGTGTTGCCAGTAGCTGCCACGCTTAATAGGCAGATTGGTAACTGAAGTTAGGCTTTAGAGATGTAAAACCTTTGCAGGGACGCTGCTGCCCATCCCTCGCCCTATTTTAGTCTCCTCTTACGATACCCACGGGAAAGGAAGGAGTGATCTATTTTATGCCCGGACCACCCAGTCAACTTGGTCTCTTGTTTTTTGTTTTCGGAGTAATAATTGATTATTACAAAGTACATATAGATACTTTCTGTTTTTATTTAATGTACCAACGACGCATCTAGTCTTTCAGGTTTATTTTATTATTCGTACAATTGATATTGCAGTATTTTGTTTGTTTTTGACCTAGCAAAATATATTTTACATACAGTTTAAACACAGCTGGTTCATGGCTAAAATACGCATGGGATAGGTGTATCCATGCAAACGACTTCTTTACAAAGTCACCCTCTGGTGTGCAAAAACTAACCCCCATTATTCGTAAAAACTTACTACAAACCTGCTTTAACTATTACACTGTTTAGATAATTTTTTTTACAACACAGGGGGCAAACGATGATGAGTGACTACCGCCGCCCATGGTCACCCAGAACGCTAACGGTATTGCAGGTGTGCTGCCGGCCTTTTAAATAGGAATATGCTCTTTTCTTGCAGGTTATGTTGTCGTA